GGTTTGATTTTGATGGTTTAAGCTATACATGCATTTTGTTACTAATACCATAAAAGGTTGAAAAAGATTGGATGCTAGAAAAAGAACAAAAATACAAATTTGAAATTTAGAGTTGTTTTTACAAGAAAAAATGTCTAATTTAGAAATATGTCTTTTACTCTAGAATTTTGAATATACCTTACAAAATTTGATTTGATTTAAAACTGAAGTTTGCTTCAATAATGCTTTCACTTTTAACCAAAATCAGAGACAGTATTATTATTGATTAAAAATCACTGTACTAGCAAATAAGAAATACCAAATCAATAATCAGTTGGCAACAAATACAATCTTGTGTGAAAAACAAATGTATCCATTTGGAAAATATAATTATAATATACAATGTTTTATTTTTACAAGACTGTAATTTAGAAAAAACCAAATATGACATGCAAGGTCTATTTAATATTTTTTATTACAAATACAAAAAAAAATGTATCCCCAAATTTTTGCCAAGAAACTACAGAAATGTCTTGCTCATTCTTAAATAATAAATTCGAAAAGGTAAGAGAAAAAGAACACATGTTAATATATGTATGACTTTAAAGTTTTCCAGAAATTCAAACTTTAAAGGAAATAACCTATAGTTGCTAAGAGGAGAAAATAGTTTTTTTAAATGATTATTTTGTGAGCATTAATTGTTTTAGGAATTGGTGGCTCATTGTTTGTTGAAATTACTTGATTTGAATTACAGGATGGTTTAATTCAAATAAATTATTTTCTTAATATCAGAGTAACAAGAAATGAAGCATTAATAATACAAACAAATATAACTTGCTATTGCTAATTCACTCAAATTAATTACTCAAGAGAATGTCAAGAGAATTTGTCGTAAGATATGTTGACTGTAAATAATAAAGTTCAAAACCTTTCATTTTATATGTACTTCAATAAATTTGAAAGTAATTCAAGCCCCAAACAGTCAAATTTATTACTCCACCATCAACATTTTGTAAATTCAATAATCATTTGAGCATATGCATATTAGTCAAAATTAAATACACTTATTTCAAGTATAAAAAGATTGATTTGGTTTTTCTTTTTTTGAAAATGAGACAAGATATGAATTCTTTTGAGTTGATATTCTACAGTGAAACACACTTACATACACACACACACACACACACATATGTTTATATATATATATATATATATATATATATATTAAGTTTTCTAAACCTACAAATTGTTTTTTTTTGTCATGTTTTTTTAACTTTTTTTTTTTTTTTTTTGGACCAGAAGAAGTTTTTAAAATTATGTGATAATTTAATGAAAATTTTAGTCGTAGTAGGGGTTTTAATATAAAATAAACTGGATGTGTACTAAAAAGGTTTGTTGAAGGTGCTCTGTTAAATTTTGTTGAGGTTTTCCTTAGAGCAGTTTTGTTCGTTTTGAGTTGTTACTTGGCATTTCCATCTTCTGTCAAAGCTCAATCTCTGGTTGGTTCTAGATAATCTAAACAACAATCGAACTTTAACAGTGCCAAAGAATATTTATTAAGACCCAGCTCCACTTCAATGAAAGAAAGTTGCCTACACTACACAGTTGACTGACTGATCATTATAAAATTATAAACTGGGTGGAATAAAAATAGTAACATCAATAACAAACACAGAAAAAGTAGTAGAAGTAGTAGTAGAAGCAGAAGAAAAGTAATAAAAGTGAATAGTAAGAAGTAATAATGAAGGGAAAGGGGGAAGTTCTCACATGCGGACTGAGTGAGTACGAGTGAGAGAGTGAGTGAGAAGGGGAAAGGGGGGGGGAACTGCAGCAGCAGGGCAGTTAAGAAATAGAGGGATTTCCTTAAAGCTGGACATCTCATCCATCCATCCATCAATACATTCATCCATCCATCCATCCCCACCCCTTTCCTTTCCCTTGACTTCGCCCTGCCCATCCCCTTGACTCCTCTGGACTTATGAGCCAGCATTCATTCATTTACTATACCCCCACCCCATGAATGAATGGATGGATGAATGAATACAATGCATATAATATGGATGAAATGTGTCGGTCGATTTCTCATCCCTCACAACAACACTTGGTCAGTTCACTTCTCAACACTTCCTCTTTCTTTTCTTTTCTTTTCGTTTCCCCTTTTTTTTCTTTTTTTATTCTTGTTTTTCCTCCCTGTGTTTTCTTTGAGGGCTTTGGTCATAGATAATCGTTTTCCCATGTTGTTAAGTTTGGGGAAAAGCTTGAAAAGCAAAGTGATAGGAAGAAGGTGTTGATTGGTAAATAGTCTAGCACTGTGCGGTCTAGTACTACTTGGATTTCGTCGAAATTATCTGTTTATTTTAATTGAGGAGGAGAGGGGAAGGGGAGGGAGGGTGTGTCAGGGCTCAACTCTGCAGACATCCACTTGCTTGCAGCATGCATTTTTATCATTTAGTTGGAAGTACAGCTTCCTATCATGGAATTTGCCATGCTCAGGGCCTGCTAAACCCTCTCTCTCTCTCCCCCCCCCCCCATTCAGTCAAGTATTTGTGGAAACATGCACATGGGTTATGTCAAATAAGCTCCATACCTGCAAACCAGAACCTGTCCCTCACAGATTTAGGGTTTTGGATTTGCTCATTCCCCTGCTCAAAGTCCCCTTTTTTTATATACTTTTTGTTGCACTGTGGTAGATGGAAAAAGTGAAGACAAGAAGTTAAAAAGGAGTCTCTTACAACTGCATGTACTCTTCCAGCCTCCATAACCATCCATCTTCACTCCCCCCTCCCCACAGTAACAAGCACATGAAAGCAAGGGGGTGTCATTGAACTCATCAAAGGGTTCTTATGGATGAATGGATTCTTCTACTGAAGGAGTTCTACTAATGTTGGTCACTTAAAAGAATCAGAAAAAGCTGACTATGCATCAAATTCAAAACCAAATGATGGCAAGCATGCAGCTGATTTTATTACACCACATATGCATGCAACCCCATAAACCCTAAATTGGCATCAAAGTGATACCAGTGAGTGACACTTTTTCTACTCCCTCATAAATAAACCAACACACAAAGACTCATAGCTTTTGTCATATCCTTTTAAATTCTGGGTGGGCTTTGTGGATAGGGGAGTGGAACTTGGAACTTGGAACTTGGAAGGGACTGCCAAGAGGCAGAGTAAGAAAAAGGAGAGCAAGTGAGAGAGAGAGAGAGAGAGAGAGAGTAATGAATGAATGAAAAAGAGGGGAAAGGAGTGGGGTGAAGTGGGGGATGATGGTGTCCTGGCGCAGCACTCCGTTCTGCTGCCAGGGGTAATGAAAAGAGTTGGCAAGGACAGTGGTACCAACGCTTCTGCCGAACATAATACAATACAATACACAAATAGTGGTCCTTGCTTCCTTCCTTTCCCTTGGTAATGTAATGAACAGAAGAGGCATGGATTATCTACTTACTTTCTTGGATGCAAACTGTACCCTTACCTCCCATTGCACCTCCATTAATCACTATTTACCCCCCCCACAGTAGTAGTAACCTCATTAACTACCCCACGTCAACCATCATAAAACACAACCAGGGGAAAATCCAAATAATAACATTTCTTCTAAACACGTACACACACACAAAAAAATGAATAAAAACACATAGTGCTAATAACGCGGATAGATTTTTAAAAACCAAAAAATAGCAAAAACAGAAAGTTTTATGGTGTGGTTGTGAGTGGGTGGGTGCTGTCAATGAAGAGAACTCTTTTCTATTTCTTGTTGTTCCCAGACTCCTGCGGAGCTCCGACGCGAGCCCAGCATTCGGGGAAGAGAAGGGGGCACTGGATTTGGGATCCTTTGAGGAGGAGGAGGGGGAGGAGGAGGTCCCGCACCGGAGCCCCCGAAACTGCAGACTTTTTTGTGTTAATAACTGCCCCTGGCGGTCTGGAGATTCCGATCTGCGAGACGGATGGATGCTGCCGAGATCTCGGTGCCCGCTTGGATCACTTGGGGGAGACCCAGTTGTCGAGCTTTGGCAGCTTTTCAGGTACAGAAGGGTGATTGGGAGAGTTCGGAAGCTGCCTTGGAGGGGTTTGGTAATCACCGATACGGAGGCAGGAAGGAGGGAGGAAGGAAGGGAGGGGCTGCTGAAATTCTCCAGTGGCAGGTTTGTCCGGTTAAACATTGGGTTGCAGATTGTGTGTGATGAGGCTTTCCTTTTTGTCTTTAGCTTTTTTCATTCGGGTAGGAGGACATTGAAGTGTAATGTTCTCGACGGTGACTGTATGCGTGAGCACCAAGTGTTAGGACATGATGGTGTGTGTAGTTACGAGAGATCTTGTTTGGCGATGCAGTTGTAAGAGGGATTCAACGACGGCAACTCGGTTTCTGTCAGCAGGTTTTGCGAGCGTCACCATCCTCTCCACGATACTTGATGGCCTTCACGGCATGGGTTGAGATATATATGTCATACAGTTGAGGTTTTTGGCAACGCACATGTAAACTCGGTACCTAGTAGTCATGTACCGAACATGCAGCTTCGAAGTTGACAACTACGCTTCATAAATTTTGCTCAAATAGGAAGAGAGGGCAATGTGTCGATGCTACGCACAGTCGGGCAGAAGACTGGTCAGCATCAAAATGAAAATGAAAATGAAACAAAGGAGGAAAATTTCTTACAACACCAACTGGTCACAACAGGAAAGGGACATGACCTATCAGGAACTCACACTAGTCCCAATTAAGATGCTCTCGCAGACTCGCATACCGTTCAACATAGCTGAACAGGGAGAAACAGCGTTATATCCCATCTTAGTGTTACACTTAGAAAAACGTGACATGCCTGAAAGATTTTCCTGAAATCCAAAAATATGCGGAAGAACATGGCAGCTACTGGAAAGCTGCTTCACGTCGTGACGAGACCAGCACGCCTTGACAAGGTCACACGTCAATGAATGAAGTGGCAACTTCGAAAGAACGAGCAACGGCGGGGATCCAGACACAAAGAGATAATGCATAGTTTGGAGAAAAACAGGCCTCAGATGTTACCCAGAGAACAAAATTTAATACTTCTTGCACGTATCGCAAAAACACATCGTAATCATACTCAACTCCCTTCTATAACAATCTTGAGAAATAGAAACTTCCAATGTACTCACTAACTAGTACAAGCCGCAACGGTGCCTAAAACTTTAGTTGTATAATCATGGTGTTGAACTCTACACTACAAAAACCCATCTGTAAAGCTAACCTACTCATGCCCCGAGGTTGGGGCAATTACACGCTGACACCAACTCGAAAACAGGCTACAAAATTTGGTGGAGCACATATCTTCAATGAGTATTTGTAAAATGGCTATGGGCTAATGTCCCATGTTATATGGTACCTCGCATCCTCAACTTGGGAGGACAAGCAGCAATTACCGTGGCTACGAATCACCAGGATCTGAAACTCTAAAGTGCTACGGGAACGAAAAACGAATCGAGGGTAAATTAGAAAAATAGAAGAAAAGAAAAGGGGGAAAAAAAAAAAGCACACACACACACTAGGCCTCCGCTGCTCATGAAAATTGTGGATTGACACATGGAATAGGCATGTCCGCTGCATTGCTGAACCAATCCAAGCTATCGGACTCCGCGGCACCAAACTCGAAGTCCCCAATGTCGTCGCCGAAGTCAAACCCAACTGCGAAGTCCAGGATGTCGGAAGCGTTACTGGCTGCATTCGCATCCTCACAATCAGGAAAGTCAAAGAAAAGGTCGTCGGACAAGAATACTTCGTCAAGTTCGCATCCGCTTTGCACCTCACAGACACCATTGTTATCCGTAATGCTTTCTGAAAGCTCGGAATCGGACTCTAACGAATTTTCCGACACGGCAGCGAAGGAATTCCGTGCTGCTTCCAGAACGTCTCTGGGCGAGGGTTGGCTCTGAGCTTCACTCTTCGAACTGCTGGACGGCATGCTTGTGGTTTGGCTCGTACAAAGTGACTCCTCGCTCCCACCCAAGCTATCCGACATACAGAACTCATTGTCCTCACTAAGATTGTCGAAGAACGTATCATCGTCCAAGAGATCCTCCTCTAAGCTCTGACATGCACCCAGCACTTCCGACGGCATATCTCCAAAAGAAAGACAACTCTCTTCCTTGCTGTTGGCAATTCTCCCCACTTGCAGGGCACGCAAAGGCTTGCAATTAGATGCAGCTTCGGCGACTACTTGGCCTCTCTTCGAACTGCTCTTCAACTTTGCTGCTGATTGAGCGTTCCTTTGCATCGCAACATGCGTCTCGGACACGGTCGGAACGCTTCCCGAGACATCAGATTGATCCGCTTGACTGAAGTTTGTGTGCGCTTGCGGCCCTCGGATCTCCCTGGCGGCTTTATCATACGCCCTAGCGGCTTGCTCGGCCGTGTCGTATGTCCCCAGCCATAACCGAACCCCTTTCGAAGGATCCCGGATCTCGGCAGCCCACTTCCCCCAGGGCCTCTGCCGCACTCCACGATATTTCTGCTGTTTGATATCTTTGGTCAGGGCCATGGCCGCTTTCGCAGGCTTAGTCGGCACAGGGGGTTTAGCAGTGGACATAGTCGCTGCGCTTCTCGACGCATGAAGCATTGAGACGCCGCTCTTGTTATTCATCAGCTTGGAAATAACAGCGCTTGGAGCGCCGGTCGTTTTACGCATCGTTTTTCCTGGCACTTTTGCCTTCTTCATTGTTTTCCATAGCGGTTTCTCATAAAAACTGCCTGCCTCGCCGTCTACGGAGCAGGCGGAGTTAAGAGAACATTGCATTGTCTGGGCGGTGAATACTTGATGGTAGCTGGGCACTTCACACTCCTCGGTTTCGTCGAACTCACTATCAGAAGAAGAAGAAGAAGACGAAGACTTAGCCATGGCCATCAACTCCGGTCCGGCCCTGAACATGTCAATCTCCTGAACTAAAACGCGTTGGGAGCTTCGCATCACAACGTGGCTCTGTCTGAAGCTCCCTTCCTCATCACTCGAGGAGTCCGTTGCGTCAGGGTCCGTACAAATTACTCTCACTCTCTTAGGCAACATTTGAGACTTTCGGCTTCTTTGAGAGCATCCCTCCTCCTGCTCCTCTTCCAACTCCTCATCAGAAGACACAAACTCCCGCTTCAGAGTCTTGCCACCACAACCTTCGCTCTCACCCATAACCCCCTGCAGCTTCGCCATCCCCACGTCTATATCACCCCGGCTTCGATCCTTCCGAAGCCCCACCATCTCGAACTCTCACAAAAAGTTACCAACACAAATCTCAAATCCCGCGGGCGCTTCTTCTAGCCGCACCGTCACTCGCAAATCCCCCCTTTCAACTCACTGCCAACAAGCAACAACCTTTTTACACCGAGAACCGCAACAACTGAAAACTGCTCCACAAAAACCTCCTCTCTCGCTCTTCCTCCTCACACCACTGCGCTGCATACAAGGCGCGCCGTGCATACAACATAAACCTCATCCCGAAATGGCTATGGCGAGTTATGACCCACGACTCAGTTTACGTGACCGCTGGGTCGTTTGGGTGGCAGCAGCCCAGGAATTCTGAGAGTGAGAAGGGGAGATAGAAGTAGGGAGAATAGACACACTGTATGGAAGGCATTGTAATATGTATGTATCAAGAGCGAGCGAGCGAGGGAGAGTACCTGTGTGGGTGCCGCCAGGCGGAGGAGAAGGGCCTCGGTCGTCAGTAGTGGAGGGTCCCCTAGGACGTTCCTTTTCTTGTCAACGACGTTTCCTTTCCTTTCATAGCCTCGCTCTTCCCTCGTCTTTCTTTTATTAGCCGTCTGGTTCCCTCTCTTCCCGGACTGCAAATATCATTCTGCCTTTAATTTTCCTATTTTACCGTCCAGAGCTTCACTGATACAAGAATTTTCCTCATAAGTTTCCCCCACAAGTTGACAATGGTCCCAGGGTCGATTTGCTCCCTGCGCGTTTCTTGCGATCCTCTTCCGAATCCCTCTGAGGTGAATCGTTACCACTGGTGCAAATCGTTGCTATCAATCGATTTGGGAGCGTTCCACCGGATAAGTCGGAAATCTGCTGTGTCCTGCTTGCACCGCTGATTTGACGCATGGTAATTCGACTTGTTGCGCAAGTAGCAACGCGTGGTTGGTAAACTGGGGCGGCTTCAAGCGACTCCGCTTGTGTCGGACTTGCTCGAAAACTTTTGGCAGAAACTCGCTTCAGCATTGGCAGATTTGGGATACTGTAACTTTTTTCTCTCCCCGCTATCAAATTACTTTTGACCGACATCAAGGAACTGGTGTAAAATCGCAATTGGCTCCACTTAAAAGCGAGGGACAATCGGGGTGAACTGTGAGCCATGTAAAAGGACACACTAATAGACTCGAGCTCTGATAATATTGAGAAAAAATCTTGGGTAAAACAGCAGTGCTCTCTTACGAATTTAGAAATATCACGTTATCTTGAGAATCGAACGTTCTTGTGAAAGAATATAAATCGGAGTATTGAAGAACTTAAAATTAAAAAATAGCGCAGTTTGAATTAGTGTCGTGTAGCGCACATCAGGGCCGTGGAGTCTGACTGTAAAGTTTTTGTAAGAAAAATTAGAAGTTTACGACCACGATGATCTCGGGAATCCCACAAAAGGCCAAAATTATCAGCAACCGTGACTTCCGAGAGGTTTGAGTGCTTTTCTTTTTTCCCTATTATTATTATTATTATTTTTTTTTGCACTACCCAAGTATTGTTGGGATTCCGGTGGTTACTGAAGGTGGCCGATGAACGTAATGCAGGGGCGGGGAGAGTCTCTTCAGAGCCTTGTGGCATATGCATTCCTATCACACCTCTTATTTCCTCCATGTATTCCAAGTATGGACCTGGGGTTGTATGGTATTATATGGAATATAATAGCGGCACATTGATTCGATGCTTCCATGTTTCATTGAAATGTCGACCCCTTCCAGTGTGACAGTGGTCGTGATCTCTCCTTCCCCGCGACCACGATAGCCACCACCGAGCTTATTCCCTGCGAGGACATGGAGAACCCAATATGACAACAACAACAATAGCCAGGGCATTACCGGTCTGTCTCGTGGTTTACTGTTTGCTGCAGGATGAGCAGGAATTGGATGTGGGAGGAAGCGACATGAGGAGGAAGTAGTTGTAGAAGCACCCAACAACAGTAACAGTATCTCGTAGTAATTCGGAAGTCGCCGGATTCTCCCCCGAGGCGGCGGCACTTGCACTTCGGGGATTCGTTCATTCCCCATTCCCATTCCCCGCTTGCTGACTGGCTGGATGATTGGCTCAACGTTGCGGGCACCGCGAGGTGCCGACATTGCGACGCCGCAGGGACGCGTCCTTGGCGGTCACTCAACCACCGCGCATGGCTGCTGCCCCTATTCCCAGACTTGGATGGCTTCCATCCCCTGTTGTGGGCACATAGAAAATCTGTATGTATGTATATATTTATTTAGTTATTGGTATTTTGCCCAATTCATATTCATGAACTAATATTTTATAGAATGGAGTTTGTTAAAGGTAGTAAACTAATAACCTTCCAGTTTGCATAATTCATAAAATGAGATGAAAATTTTAAAATTAAGTGAGGGATAAAAACCTAATTTGTTAACTTGATGACCATGAGCTCACATTAGTGTCAACTTGGAAGCAGAGGTGAGACTCTTTTTTTGTAGAAAAGGAGTCAAATGTAATTCAATGACACTCTTTGCATATTTGATGTTGTGCTTGAAGCAGCATTGACAAGCCTATTGGTCAACTTGGAGACTAGGATATGTTGCTCAGAGAATGTAAACTATAACAACAAATCTCATTTGAAGACCCATCTAGTTATTCATTTAAGGATGGCATCCCTTTGTTGCTTTGGCTTTCCAATTCTAGTCAAAAATCTCCTAGCAAGTCCTTTGTTATCCCATTTGGGTCTTGTCAATTGTTTGCTTATTAGCCGTTAACATGCCATTATTTCCTTACTTTAGCTGTTGATGCATGTACTTCATTGCAATTTGTTGTGATCTTCCACTACACCCATAGCGTCTGTAATTATTGATGAAGTTTGGACCAATTCAGTGTATGGTCTATATATGTGTATTTTGTTCTTGTTCATAAAACTGTGCTAATTCTTCCAAATTCTTTTAACATCTTAAGGATTTTAGGACCAAGAGTGAAGTGGGACAAGTTATTTTAGATTTTATTAAAACGAAAAGGTATTAAGAACAGTTCTACATGAAAATATCAATTTGATTTATTTCCAAAAAAAACTCTCTTATTAGTTATTATACATGGTGTTTTGATTTTAGAAGATGTTCACTTATTGTGCATGTCATTTTTTATATTAACTTTGATGTAAAATACCTCATAAAAAGTTACTCTACCAGTGCACATAAAATAAAGCAGTAACAATGTAACGTCTTAAATAGACTTAGAAATAAATTATATCTATCTATATGTACATACATACAAAAACATGGAAGGAAAATTTGTTTGTAAATTATTTGTGCAAGTTCATGTTGTGAGACATGATAAAGTGCCAAACCAGAAATATTTTTTTAAAATAAAAAAATCATGTATTAAAACCTAACTAACATCATCAAAATATGTATTTTATTTAATTTCTTACAAAATAAATAAATAAATAAATCATTTTAAAATTTTAAAAACGTCATTAAAGTTGAATTATTTTTAGTAATTAAATGGAATTTATAAATGATGAAAAATATTTTTATTTTATGGAGAATCATATCCATAAATATATATTAGAACAACCAGAAAATTATTCAATTATCATGTGAATTATTCTTTTGTAATACAAGTACAATTAATTTATTGTAGATTTTTAATTAATCCAATAATCATTTTTCAGTACATCAACTTGAAATTATATTTCTTATAAATTTAAATATATTTTTTGTAAATTTATATTTAAAATAAATAAATAAAGCTATGATCTCATGACTTTTTAGTCATTAAAATGAACTTTGTTTTACATATGATTTTGCAATACATTTTGAAACTTTGTTGTATCATGTGAAGACATCAAATCAAGGTCACATTGAACTTGACCTTGCATTAGATCATAAAGATACATACATTTCTAAATCTTATATGGATTACGATTGGATGAAGTATTGGTATGTGTCAAGATATGCTTTAGGATTTTAAACATTATTTAATACTTTAAAGACTCATGTATGGCACAATTTTCGGAAAACACAAAATAGAAATAATAGGATTTGGAAACAAAACTACCTAAAACAGATATCAATTGTGCTCATTCATTTAGAAAGTGTTGATTTATCTTAATAAAGTGGAATAGTAAGTTTATAGGATAGAGAACAAAAAGGTTTGGGTGGTCAAAATATTGATTGAATCTTTAAAAAAATATTGTGAGGAAGTAATATTTTTTGTATTCTTTATGAAAAAAGTTTATTATCTATTTTTTTACAAAATAAATGATAAATTAAAATTAAAATTTTAGCAATGTAGTAATTTATATGTTGATCAAGCCATTTATTAAAGTATCACAAATGTTGCTTGTTGTATGTATTATAACGATTTTTAGAAGTTTCTATGTTGCTTGTTGTATGTATTATAACGATTTTTTAATAATATTTTATAAAGAAAATAATATATATGTAATAAAGAAACAAAAAAGCTGAATGGGGTGTTTAGGCATTTTAAGAAGTTTCATGTGTTAGTCCAAAGCTAAATCTAAAACAAAAACCAATCTTGTCTGCAAGATTCTTAACTTATTAGGCCACTAACTTGGATTTATTAATCTCTATTCTTGATGCATTAGAAAATTGTTTGATAAGAAGAATAAAATTACTAATTGAATCAGATACATCATGTGTTATGAACACCATGTCATTCAGATACACAATGTTTATTTGTTGCCAAGAGCTCCTCAGTAGTATCTTTCTTATAGTTTTACAAGTATTCATCTCCTTCTGATTAGCATAATAAATATTTTAAAAAACTATAAAGATTGCATAATCTACTAGTTAACAATATTGTCTTGTACCTATCTCAAATTAAAACTATTTGTTAGATCTACTATTAAAACAAATTGTGGTTTTAATATTAATGATAACATACTTATTTTTTAATAATAAAAATTGCACTAATCTTTTACTTAAATTTTTTCTTAATTATCCTAAGGAGAGTGTTCTAAAAGATTAAAATATAATACTATATATATAATACATAACTTTAATACTTGTATAAAATATTATACTAAGACATTAATTATTAAGATCATGTTATTTTATAATCCAATAATCCAAATAAAAAAATATACAAGTAAATTCTAATGAAAGATCGTGCATTTTAACAACATGTTAAATTATTACATAATATCTTTTTCTTTATCACCTTTTAATATGTTCAATAAAATCTGAATTATATTATTATTATTATTATTATTATTGTTTTTTCTTTTCTTTTACTTAATTGATAGTAAAAATAAATTAATTATAGAAGAGATCCCTAAATTAAAAATAACTAAATTTTAATGATTTTTTTTTATTTGAGTTTAATTGTTAAAAATAATATTCTACCATGATGCAACCTTTATATAAATCTATTTAGATTTATTGGTATATTACTCACTCAAATTTAAATTAAATTTATACCTTTATTTGGATGTTTAGTAATATAAATAGATTTTTAACAATGCATCTAAAGAATAAAACATATATATTCTAATCTAAATAATTAAAAATATGTATGACTTTTAATTTTTATAAATGAATGTAATAAATAGTGAATATACACATGTCTATTCTTCATTTGCATCATTTTAA